ACATGTAGGCTCCGTCTTCCCCGGCTAGGTGCATCTGAGATTGGAAATAATCCACATGATCATTGGGGTCAAACAACCCATCATACTTATCTAGTGGGGCAACCTTGAAGTCTTTTGACATTGGGGTTGCTAGGAGCTCGGGAGACAGAGGAGATGATCGGCTAAGCAAGGGAGGCGCAGTCTTCGTTGCCACCAAGCTCACTTCTTCCCTTTCCTTAACTCACTCTTCTTGTTGGCTTCGCTTCGCTAGTGAACTGTTTCTGGCCGAGGAGCAACGTGTCTTGCGGCGTCGCCGTTATTGCTTCTTCACTGGCTCAACGTTGGTGCTGCTGACCTAGGTCTGGTACGGTATCTCGGCATCGTTACGAACATTATCACAAGGTGGGTCTTGGTTCCTTCTCGCCGAGTTCTCCTAGTTGTGGAGTTTGCACCGGCTATCACGAGGCACCAAAGGGACCGGCCTCGAATTTGCGCCTCTGGCTCCGGGCTGGTTGTTATATCCCCACGATCCATTGTTCTCCTGCTAGGAGTGTCACGGCAGGTTGACCCTGTTGAGCTGGCTACCCTCGGGCCTATTTTTGGGGTTTCCTTGTGATACTGGAGGAGTATGTTGACCGTCCCTCCTCCCACGAGGTGGAGTCTGACCCCTAGGAGGGACTGGCACCTGTGAGGTCCCTTCATCTCGATGAGGGGATCGGCAGACGTTTTGTCTGGTCTCGACCCGGTTCTGGTTCTGCCCCTGGCACAACTCTATGTGCCGAGGTGGGATTGGCTGTCGGTTCGGCTGTAGTGGTGGAAACTACTATTGATACTGCTGGTACAGGTAGTACTACTGATATTGTTGAAATTGTTGGATCTACTACATCTGGATTTGTATCGTCCAGACGCACTGAACAAGGTCAAGAAATTGGGAGTGCTCGACTCTAGGGGGGACCAAGGATGGCTCAAAGAAAGTCACGCCCACTGGGGGGAGCGGGAAGCTCACTTGCGTGGTGCCCTGTGGTATGGACAGTGATGGGACCCCTGAAGCTGTAAGGGGAATAGTAAACTGGCCGATACATACCATGGGGCCTTGGGGGAAGGTTGATTGCTGATCTTGCCCTCCGGTGGCATTCATCTCGATGCTTTTCTCGATGTTACTGGAAGAATCCATTGAGATGGAGCAAAAACTTGAACTACAACTGAGATTGGGATGACCTTTTGATCGGCTCCCACAGATGATGCCAATTGATGGTGCGCGATCTGGAAGCTCCTATCTGGAGAACTGCCTGGACGTACTCGCGTGGTGAGCTGGATCAATCTGCAAAATAGTGCTCAGAGGGACTGGGGTGGAAGACCCGGTGAGGTTGCTCCGATGCTTAAGTTAGTATTCTGTGTGTTTGTGAGCTAAGTATGAATACTAGAGAGCTTGAATGTGAGTAATCGCGCGAACCTTCGTCTTGAGGATCGATGCCCTTATATAGTTGAGTAGCCGTAATCCTTACGAAAAGGCTTCCGGGATCCCCGGACTGCATAGATAAGATCCGTTCCGTTTCCAAAGGAGAGAAATGCGCTAGTTGATAAGGTTTATCACTTTCCTCCGATTCGGACGGGATGAGGATGAGCCCTATTATTAGACATCATGATCCCGGGAGATTCGAAGTCCATTGGGGAAGCTTTTGGAGTCGATTACGTGGCGCTTCAGCTCTTTGGTCTCGAACTGGCATCTCGGTTCTTTGGCTTTGAACTGAAACTTCGGTTCTTTGGCCCCGAACTGAATTAGGTGCCGAAGTGACTTTATGCCGAAGTACTTAAGGTCCCGAGCTCCCGAACTGCTGGCAAGGCTCCCTCACTGAATTGTCACTCCAGTGGCTGATCGCATCCACGTGTACCTCGGTCACTAGGTCGGGCCAAATTACCCCTCGTCAACACGCATTGCAAAACTAGAGGTTAGTGGTTGCTACTTATGTTGCTATCAATTGTCTTGTATGAGACTTACTCCATTTAGGGACTGTCGGCCGCAGTAGAAATAAATCAAAACATATATCATGAGACATGTAGATGCCATACATTTGAGGAGAGGTTTGAGGTTTTTGTATTTTACCTTTCTATATAGAAAGAAAAAGAAAAGAGAAGAAAGATAGGTTCACTTTGAGGAGAACCCAAGAGTTCAAAAGTTCTAATTGAAGGGTAAAAAGAGATTCAGATGCTTAATCCATGAAGAAAATGGACTTAAATACAAATGAATTGATATTTGACTGTTGAAGGCGATGCTTTTAGTATTTTCAAATTCATGTTGGTGGATGGTCTTGATCCACATCATTATTGCCTGCAAAAGCATTTTATCTACCCTTCATTCTTGCTCGGTGAATTATGTGTGACGGATGGCAAATGGTGCTGCTCATTTAATTGCCAGACGAGGATTATCTTTGTCTCGACTTTTTACATGGTCTACTATTCAAGATTTTTTATGTAATACTGTTGAAAGGCACTCTTCATCGAGTTAATAGAATTCTGCCTACGGGCTTCTATCAAAAAAACTACTAGACACTTTACCTTTCGGCTAGCTAACCTGTTAACCACTACGGCACTACCTTTGGCTATAAACTTGCTAACAAAATGGGCTTTATTCCATCTTCCCACGTTTCAACCTCTACGGTTTACGTGTAGGTCTCATATGATACCACTTCACTGGTATCACATTATCTTTTAATTGGAGAGTGGTTGATAGAAAACCTTGCTTTCAGGGAGAAATAAGGAAGAATAGAATCGAGGTCCAATAAGAAGAAAACAGATCAACAGCTCATTTCCATTTCTGTTTCTATTAATAATCAAAGACCCAGCAATTTTCAACTTTTAATTCGTGAAGCGACTGGATCCATTCCATTAGATGCCCCACTGGACGTCCAGAAAAAACATTGTTTGTTTCTGTAGGTTGTGTTTGGTTTAGATGGGCCAATACAAATTTTATGAGAAATATATATATCATAAATGCTTTAAATTATCAATGCAACATTTGGTACCATTATTGTTTCTTGAAGAAATATTAAATTTGATGTTTCTACAATAAATGTCAACACCTAATTTGATGTTTATTTTTTTAGTGAAAGTCTGATTTGATGTGATAAAAAACAATTTCTCTCAAAAACATTACAAGTAGAAGTAACAATGGTACTAAACAATACCCTACTTACGATATAAGAAACATAGCCACTATTTGATGCTACTGTTAGGTAAAAACACTAATAGAATGGGTTGGGGTTGGATCTAGCGAAATGGATAAAAAAGGGTTTGAAGGGATTTACAAAAACCATGCCAAAAGGGGGTTTGAGCAAAGAGTTCAAATCAGCCCCCCACAACGTCCCACAGCACATCTCCGCCGTGTATTGAAAACATCTCCCGATAATGACATCATCATTTCTAGTATTATCATCAGGTGATGTTCCCAATACACAGTGAGAATGTGCTGAGACATTGTGAGAAACAATCTTGTAAGGGGCTGATTTGATCTCTTGAGCGAAACAGAGTACGTGGTTTTTGAATTTTGTTCGTCAGCAAAAAATTCCATATTGTGAATCAGGGGTAACTTTGACAATTTAAAAAATTAGAGAATGACATCATCATTTTCTATTAAGATTTGAACCTCGCATAATGGAGTACAGATGCAACGTTGTCAGAAACTGCAAGGGAAAGTAGAAGTTTCAGCAACTGTCAGAAATTTCAGATAGATTTTTTATTTCAGGGTACATACTATATACAAATTCATAAATTTGAAATCTAAAAAATCCACAATTGATACACAATTTTTTAAGAAAAATATTATTTGCATTTATCAATACAAACTGCAGTCAATGTATACGAGATGGTATTAGCCAAACGCAATAATTGTTCAGCAAACTGTGGACCAATAATCTCTCTAAACCGGTATAAAATAAAGAGTAAAATACAAAAACCTCCCTGAACTTTTGAGAAGTTCAACAAAAACTTCCCTTATGTCATTTTCACAGACAGAAAATGTTAGACTAATGTAATAATTTCTTTTAAATACCCATTTTACCCTTTTATAAATGATTTTACATACAAAATTACTGAATAACCATATTTTAATTCGACAAAAACATTAAAAGATAATCGTTAAAAGGAGATTTTTGTCAAATAAAAAACAGGGTTATTTCAGTAATTTTGCATGTAAAATAATTTATAAAATGGTAGAATGGGTATTTAGAAGAAATCGATGCATCAGTCTAACGTTTTTCATATAAGAAAGTGATGGAAGGGAGATTTTTGTCAAATTTCTCAAAAATTTCAAGAGAGGTATTTGTTAAAATTAAACTAGAGGGGAGCTTTTTATGATTGTCTGAAACTTTAGGAGAGTTTTTTGTATTTTACCCTAAAATAAATAGGTAAGACCCACAATCATTCAATCCCTAAGTTTTAAATTGACACCCCACAACACACCCTATTAGTAGTGCACCACATGCACATCTCAGCATGCATTGGGAACATTTCATACTTGTCATTAAGTTCTCAATAAACAGTTGAAATATTTTGTGAGATACACATGGGAAATGCATATCATATCGGTACTTAAAAAAGCCCAAAACTATATTTTTTTTTAGGTTTTTTTTCAAAGTTTGATTTTTTGGAAAGTTAAAAACATGCTTTTTTAAATTAAAAAAAGTTAGGAGAAACAGGCGTTTTGGATCATATCGTTTTCAAAAGATACGATCCATACTTTAAACCATGATCACTGGCATGGAACATTATCATTGGCTACACAGCCAAAGCGTTCAGCTAATCCGAATCCGAATTCACCTCATAATCAGCAATAGCAATAGCCCCACAGAGCTTGCCCCACATGCACATCGGAGATGTTTCCAATGCACAGTTGGGATGTCCTGTGGGGCACGTGCAGTGGGAAGCCCATGCGAATTCCCAGCCACTACATATCCAGTTTTTCTTTTCTACAGAAATCACGCAAACCAATTAGAAATTATCATTATATTTTGTAGATGCCAAAATTAAAAAAAGAAAAAAACAAGATGCCATCCAGTATAGTGGTTTTACTAATAAAGAATCAACTTCTTATCATAATTTTACATATAATCCCTTCTTCTAGACACTTTTTTTTTACAATCCCTATATTGAATCCCCCATACAGCAAGTTTATGGATATTGCAATCATTTTACAGAGCCAAGAATGTAAACCCACCTGAAATAGAAGATACCTAATTTCCATAAGATCAAAGGCAGGTACATGTTAACATGTCAAGTTACCAAGTTCTTCAGCCAATGGTTTACCTTGAATATAACTACAGATTGACCATTTTCCACACTCCAAGCAGGACTGAAACCTTTTAAAATCCTCTAAGTGATTCATAATTCGCTTAGGATTCCAAATGCCAAAATCCTGCACATCAAATAATTATGTCACAAGCAAACTGAATGTATCGTGAATCCACTGCATTGACCTTCCTAAGCAGTACACAATTGACATATACAACGCACTGACCTGATTCTTCTATAGATGGTGGCAGTGGTGGAGAATAATGAGCATGTCTTCCATATCTACGTATACCACTCTTAAAGAAGTTCAAGGCCTTCCTAGGGTCAGCTTCCACAATATGAATAATGTAATGTCATGGATCCAAACTTCTGGTAGATATAAGTTACAAAAGAGTATCCAAGTACTTGCACTTCTCCATGGATGATTATGGTGATCATAGCCATGAATTCATCATAACATGAATTAGCCTTATTTCACTGAGCGTACACCGATAGTTCTCACACGGAATCGATACTGAGGCTGAGAGTCCTCATCTTCATCTTCTTCCTCTTCACTTGAATCATCTTCAACTCTGTCCCACCGTGAATAATCCAGGTTTGAGTGCCCCTTTGGTTTTGGGATTGCTTCCCATCCTTTGGAATTTGTATCACTAGACTTCTGGTGGCTTTGTATTTGAGCTTTATCAACTGCAGAACTAGTAGTCCTTGTGGACTCAAGTTTCTCATCCTGGCCAGCAGCTTCAACCACTGGCTTTTCTTTTTCCATTTCATCTTCTTTCCCTTGTTGTTGTTGTTGTTCTTCTTCTTCTTTTTCTTCTTCTTCTTCTTCTTCTTCTTCTTCCACCTCAGCTACCAATGATTCTTCTTCAGATTCAGGTATGGGAGCCAGTGACTTTACTCAGGCGAAAAAAAAAACCAAGTTAGTGAGAACCAGGAGACAATTGACTATTAAAGCATTATTTGCATTATTTAGGTTTGTATTTTCAGATGTGCAAATGATACATTAGAAGACCTAAAACTTCAACTAGGATGGCAGATTGGATTTGTCAACAACTAATTCCACTTCAGCTTGGACATCCGATCACTAAATTCAGTAGGATGATACATTCAGGACAATCTGATTTATAATAAGGTAGGCTTCAGGTTGGACATCAGATCACTAAATAATTCAGTTTTTCCCTCCAGATTCACATTGATTTCTTTTCCTCACCAATCAGGAGATAGTAAAGTTTAGCTTGATGGAGTCCAAACCATGAAAAACTTCATTTCTAAAAGAAATGCAAGTTATGCATGAAACAGTCCAAAAGAAATTTGGAAGGTTACTATATTAGATGTGATGATTTTACGTGTTAGATTTTTTTTTATAAATGATAGCATTTTATTAATAAAAAGGAATCAATATTTAGAAGGCAAACTATCCCGATAGGGACGTGAGGTGCGACCCCATTCTACAATGAACAGAGGCTGTACATTGTGTTATAAAATACTTTTATATTCTTAATTTTTTGAGACTATAATTATAAAACAGACATTATTGAACTAAAACAATCATTTTGTGTGTATAGTAATTTCTTTTTTATTATTTTCTTATTTGTTAGGGTTTAATCAACACAAACATTGCTAAATGCTGTATTTAACCCTCAAAGACTTCAAAACCTGAACTGGTAAAGAACTTAAAATTTTGTATAATCAACACATTATCTTCTTCTTCTTCTCCTATAACAAAATAGGGGTTCAGCCCCCATATGTTTTGAATTTTCTTTTCTTTCTTTTTTTTTTTTATGAACATGTTGAGTTTCTATACTTTAACATGAAGTTTATACTTCTCTTATGAAAATTATGGATAATTGTTGAGGAAACATGGTTATGGAACCTAGGGAACTACCCTAGGATATATGTATTTTGTGTAAAAAATCAATTGCCTAGGCAGGTGCCTAGGTGATTAGGCGACAAGGTGCCCCACTGTTGCCTAGCCTCGCCTTGGCGCCATGAAAACTATGCCTACTAGCCTTAGGTTGTATCCTTTACTGTAAGCTATGGACCTATAAATAATGTGCATGGAATCCTACGAGATGTTTGGGAGTTCTGACAATTGGGCCAGCAAAAAGTAAGCATGCATAGTCAAAAGTATCTTCAGAATAATTGGAAGGCATTAGGACCTATATTATCAGACACTGTTCATTTGTAAGTAGGAGGTCCATCCATATCTTCAGGCCTTTATTTTCAGAGGACTGATTTGGGAGGATCCCATTTTTAATGAAAAGGCATATCACAATGAAAAGACAGGGTACAGTTTCTAATGATAATAGCTAAAATATACTGTACTTCATATATCTGACTAATAACTAGGGTTGAAGTCCCTAATCAAAACTGAGATATGGCCAAATCATCCCCCTTGTCTTATCGTGCCTTCAAAACCATCTTTCCAGCCATTTCTTACAGTTTTATATTTTAAGGATGAACTGTGGATTAGGACCATACTGGCACATTAAATTTCAAAGCAACTTCATTTTTGGGTTCTTCAGAACACACTTCATTCAAGGAAAGAAGGAATATGAAGGCAGGAACAATACCAGTTGTGTCTTCAAACGAGCTTGCAAATTCTGATAGACTTCTGATGAAGGATTTAGATCTATAAGCCTGTTGACATCAAAGAGTGCAGAGTGGTACTCCCTGAGAGTGACAAGTGTCTGAGCCCTCAGCATCAAGGCTCCTGTGTGCTTGTGATCCAGTTCAAGCACTGAAGTACATTCTTCTGCTGCCTAAGATGGTGGTTGCACTGTCAGATGAATTGCACGAAAAGTAATTTAAGAAAGGGAAAAAGAGCAAGAAACATTGTTATCAAGGCAATGCCTAGGCAGGTACCTAGGTAACAAGGCATCTTATGAGGTACTCCTTTATGGCATGCCATATGTGCATAATTTTAGGGGCCTTATTATGTAATGAAAAGAGCAAGAAACATAGTTATCAAGGCAATGCCTAAGCAGGCACCTAGGTAACAAGGCATTTTATGGGGTACTCCTTTATAACATGCCATATTTGCATAATTTTAGGGGCTTTCTTATGCAATGAAAAAAGCAAGGCGCTTTACCATATGTTCTTTACTATGTTATATATTTATTTTTGCTCTAATGGTACATATATCAATTGGCATTTTCAAGCAGTAACAAAGCTTAAGATGAATAGAGTACAATAGCAAGCTTCAGCTTACCCAAAATCAACTACACAAAATTAAAGAAAAAAAAAATCTTTGTTACAATTTTATTCCCAGGCCCAGAGCACTCCACACCAAATATCTATTCCTATCACTCCTGTCCTTGCTAATACCTAGGTACCCAAATGAATGAACAGTTCATAGTTTCCGATGGTTTTCTTATATTGATGTAAAACAGGAAACAGCCTCACAGTCTCCTTCCACAATCGAACTGGAATAATTGGAGTACACCATCTTGAGTCCTTGATATAAGACAAGCATTTCTGCCCTCTGGGAGTCCCCTTCTCCAATTGGATGTTAAAAGCTTTGCAAAATGCCTACCTCTCATTTGGCCAACCTCTCAAGCCCATTGGTATTCCGTTGAACTTCCCCCTAATTAGAACCCAATTTACCACCTTAACTTTGATAAGCTCCATTATATCTTTGATGTGATGGAAGGAGAAAAATCCTATTAGGATGAATGTAGTGGGTGATGAAGGGGAAATTAAGGATTTGAATTAAGAGAAGAGATATTCAGAGTTGAATGGAAAAGAGAAAAACAAGAAACAATGCACCATTTTTTTTGTGGGACAGAGAGAGAGAGAAAGAGAGATCATTACTCCCGGCAGGTAAATTACAATTGAACTTTTATACCTTTAAGTCCACTCTCCAAATTCAATGGCAATGACTCAAATATAGACTAAACATAAAGGCTGCTTGGCTCTCCCTTTACAGACTCCAATTTCAATTTGGAAAATAACCCAAAACAAATTTAAACTTTACAACTAGAGAAACCCAATAGGTAAACCATAGTGATACTTGAATAAGAATTTTAACTCCAAAACTAACTCTGATAAAACTTTCCTAATCCTACTAGACACCAGAAATTACTAAACATAGTAAATCATGATTGTACTATAACTAACAGAACAGAATGGCAAAACAAGATTCATGTAGCTGATCCCATATAGTTGGGACAAGGCTCAAATGATGATGATGAGAAATAGCAAGTCTGGAAGTTACTATAAATGATAACTTTGATTCATTAATAAGAGAGGAACCTATTAATAAGAGAGGAACCAATTTATTAAAAGATTAAAAAATGGTGAAAAGATTGTAATACATATTTTAAACTTACTTTACGGCAAGGGAACTCTAAACTAAAAGAATAAATATTAAACAGCATGAGACCTATATAATAATTATTTAATAAACCTTTGACCAAGTAAATGTTTTGGATAACCAGACATTTAAAGACCCGGTCTGAAACAGGGTTGCCATAACCAAATGCTGCAAGAGAGGGAAGAGAGAAGAAAAAACAAAAGATTGAAGGAATCAAACTATCAAAGTAGGTCTGCCGGCACCCACTTTATTATTTATATTAGATTGTCATAATGAAAGATGATATTGCAAGACTGCTCATGTAGAGGTGTAAAGTGAGCCGTGCCAGGCCGGCATGGCACGGGCCGTAGCTAGCATGGGAAGAGAGAAGAAAAAACAAAAGATTGAAGGAATCAAACTATCAAAGTAGGTCTGTCGGCACCCACTTTATTATTTATATTAGATTGTCATAATGAAAGATGATATTACAAAACTGCTCATGTAGAGGTGTAAAGTGTGTCGTACCGGGCCGGCATGGCACGGGCCGTGCTGCCCTCCCCAATGAAAAATTTGGGGGTCGGCCCGGCACGGCCCATGGCCCGGGCCCATGTGGGCCCGTGCCGTGCCATGAGCTGGGCTGGCCCGTGGGCCTAGCCTTGGACCAGGTCGGGCCGTGTATTGGGCCAAAGCTTTTATTTAAAAAAATTGATAAAAAATCTTAAAATTTTAATTTTATATGAATTTTGTGTATAAAATTGCTTATATATGCAATAATTAAATAAATTAGTATAATAAAATTAAAAAAATATTTATTTTATTAATATATTATATACTATATATTATTATATAATTATAATATATATAATATATATATGGGTCGTGCTAGGCCGAGCTGTGGGCTAGGCCGTGCCAGCCCGCAGGCCACGGGCGGCACGGCCTGCTCGGTCGTGTCGTGCCATGCCGGTCCGTGGACCTAAAATCCCAGGCCCAACACGGCCCATAGGCCGTCGTGCCGGGCTGGTCCAAGTTCGTGCCGGGCCATGGGCAGCACAGCCCGATTTACACCTCTATGCTCATGTGTACACTAAATAACAGATTACAACATTACAACAATCTTGATAAATGTCCATAAGCACCATCTTTTTTTTATAACTGTAAGGTAAAGTAGTTCATTAAATGCCAAAACAAGATACAAGGACAACCCCTGTACAATGAGATTTTGTACAAGGGAAAACCAAACCGACACAATTACAATAAGCCTAATACCAACAAAAAAATCTTACAGATTCCTGACAAAAATTTATCCCAATCAAAAAAGAATGTCTTTTTTGAACAGAGAATGATTTTCCAACCAATAAAATACCAGACCCAAAACTCTTTTGAAAACCTCCCCTCAAAAATTCTGCCATTTCTTTCACACCACACTGCCCAGAAGACTAGTAGGGATGATGCACCAAGCTACTCTGCCAGCCTTTCTTAACCCCCTTAACAACCAAGCACCTATGAATCCTTTCATATCATCTGGGAAGCACATCTTAACCCTGAACATATCCAACATTCTTCCCCGAATCCAGTACACAAATTCACAATGCAACAAAAGATGATTCATAGTTTTTTCACACTTGTATTACACATGATGCAACTCACATCCACCACCTGTATACCTCTTCTGACTAAGTTGTCCCTCGTCAGAATCTTATCAAGAACTACAAAACAAACAAAGTAAGCCAATTTAGACGGCACATTTCTGATCCATATCCTATCACTTGGGAAATTACACTCCCTTGTCAAACTGTTGTAAAAAATTTAACAGAAAACTCACCTGATTTCTCAAAATTCCACTTCCTTTTGTCTTCCCATGCACCATTTGTCCTTGAGGTGTACAAAATCTGTAGCAAACTGATCAAGTCACCTCCCAGCCATCTAGGTTCCTCCAGAATTGAGGGCTCCAAACACAACACCCATTCTGCTTTTCCATACATTCCACCACTGTTGCACTGTTGTTCACAGCAATCTCAGAGATCAGGGTACAAGTTCTTAAGGGGGCCACCACTACACAAGTGATCCTTTCAGAAAAGGACCCTTTATTCATTGTCAACATCATATTTTATGCCCGTCATAAACTGAGTGTGAATTTTCTGAATTGCCTTCCAGATTGAACATCCATAAGATGATGTTATATCTTGTCTCCCGATCTTCACTACTAGAGCCATACTTGGATAGAATTAACCTTCTCCACAACAGCTGCTTATTAAACCTCCGCAACCACTTCCCTTACAGGGCATTGTTGGCTTCCTTTAGATTTCTAATCCCTATGCCCCTTTTAGCTTTGAATCTGCAAACCATCTTCCAATTCACCAAATGACATTTCGCTTCCTCCTTCCACCCCCACCACAAAAAATCTGTCATCTTCTTCTCCAACACAGAAGCCATCCTTGCTGGGATTGGGAACAAGGACATGCAGTAAATCAGTAAAGATGTCAAAACACTTCTCATCATTAGAGTGACTTTACCCCCTTTTGAGAGGTAATTTGTCTTCCAAGAGGCCAACCTTCTATCATCTTTTTCAATGATAGGCTCACAAGTGGCTTTAGATTTACAATTATTACCCAGCGGCATACCTAACTATTTGGTTGGATGTTTACCCAACTCTACATACCCATTCAGCTGCCCATTCTTCCAGATTTGCAACTTCCACCACAGCCACTGTTTCACTCTGAGAATGTTAATGTGCAAACCAGTGACCGACCACCCACCCTCAAACCATCTCAGTATAGCCCAAACATTCCAAAGCTGCTCCCAAGTAGCATCACAGAAAAATAGAATATCATTGATTATACAAGTTAAAGCAATTCAATTCAATTATTCAAATTTAATGGATATTAACTTTGTGCTAATTGAATAATACAATTATTGAGAATATCCAAGATAAACCTCACTGACAGAGATGACAGAAAGAAGCTTGTGAAGAAGCAATGCGAGTAGAAATATTGAAGCGTGAGGTTAAAGAAAAGGCTGAATCATGCAAAGAGAGATGCCATCAAAAGCTGAGGTTAAAAAGAAAGAGGTTCCACAGAACTGCTTCATTAAGTTTCAGATATGAGGAAAGAGATGGACTTCTTTGGTATAAAAATGGAGATACACCCATTTGATGAAACTCTATTATCCTAACCATACATACTGAAAGAAGTCTTAATATAGGGGCACTCAGAGGTCAAAAAAAGAGAAAGCTGAAAATGAACAGTGGATAGGTGGAGAAGATTTTTGGTGCTTCTTTAAGATTTTATAGCAATTAAAGGTAATCAGATATTCAGATTGAAGTCAACCAAAGGTCATTAAGGAAATCCACCAGTTGCAGCATCCTCCAAACATCCAATGATGTCTGTAGAAGATACATAGGAAGTTTGGAAGCATAAAGTGATGGTTTCAGCAGAAAATAAAGCAAAGATTTAAGGAGGATACTATATT